GGGGGAGTGGCATAACCTGTCTCTTATACACATCTAGATGTGTATAAGAGACAGTATAAAACCAGGCATTTGTGTTGCTTCAGCATTCAGCATTAAACTCACGAATTTTATATTTTTTGGCAGATTCCAAATGGGGAATTTTTAGCTTAATTCCCAATACATTGAGGCGCTACGGCTGGCATCCTGCTAGCGCATACTGCAGATGGCTGGAGCTTAATCTATCCGACTATGCAGGGAAACCAGATATCACATTCAGGGAGGTCAGATATTATTATAGTTATGATCATGATGATGAAGGCGGCAGCAGCGATGGTGACAGTGATGATGAGGATGATGATGAGGGTGATGGTGACGACAACGCGTCGTCGAGACGGTGACAATGGCGATGGTAAACGACAGCAACGACGACGACGTCGATGATGATGACCAGGATGATGACGGTGAAAATAATGATGAAGATAACGACGACAAACGGTTGTGATGATGGTGGTGGTGGTGGTGATGATGGTGGTGGTGGTGGTAATGATGATGGTGATGATGATGATGTTGTTGTCTTGCCAGGGAAATATGGTTTTCAGTGCCCATTTTTTATTGTGTGTACGAACAATAAAGTTTCTTGAATCTTGAGTTGAAATAAGTCATTATTATTGAGAAGCCATTAATTTAATAATTATGTCAATTGAACACAATTTCACAATGTTTTATCATTTCAATTTTCTACATATTTGCTTTGCACGAACAGTTCTACGAAGCGACTGGAAAAGAATTGTGTTGTGTGGCCACAAATCTGAACCGAATGTCAGTGGAATACTGTCACTTAAAGACTACTCCAGACATGCCTGTTATTATTGCCCTGAGGATGTCTATGTCTTTGCCAGGTAAACATAATAAAATGAATACTATTTATGTATTTATTTATTTATACTATTTCATTATTTGAAATACAGGCGATGGGTGCGTATACAACCCCACCCCCAAATATGAAAGAAATGTGGTTTATATTCAAATCAATAACGTTCCGTAAACGTTTTTTTTTTAATTAAACAAATTTAATTAAACATCTCTTATACACATCTAGATGTGTATAAGAGACAGATATATATATATAATTATTATCTAGTATATGCATTTTTATTTATGTCTCGTTTTAGTCCTTCTACAAGCTGTGAAACATCAAACACATGGAGCAGAGGATGTGTTTGTAGATGGCGGCCTTTTGTGTAATTACCCAATTCATGTATTTGATGGTAATGTGATTTTCTTTACATTAAACTTTATGTGGATTTACATTTGAATCAGTTGCATTTCCTCGCTATTGCATCCATTTATTTATTAATTATTTTTTTAGAGGGTGGCCCTAGTAGCAATGCTAACTTGATAAGGCCTTCTTTCAAAACAATTCAGATACTGATATTTAAAAAAATCGTAATTACAATAAAAATATTAGAAAATTTTGAAGTCAGGATCAGGAGGAAAACAACTGAGACACAAATTGCATATTTGACGAAAACCACTCGAGCGGTTAATGAGATACATATTTTTGAATATTTAAAAACTGAGGGAAAGGGGTGCAATCTGACAAATCCCCTAAAATAGAGGGGGTGGGGGAGTGGCATAACCACCCATTTTTCCCATATTTCCCCCACCCCAGTTTTTATCCAAAACAAATTTCCTTCGGAGCCTGACTTTAAAATAATCCACAGTTAACATCAATAAAATTGCAAGAATATATATATAAATATACCTTAAGAATACCACAATAATTTTCAAACTCAATACCATTATAGGCAAGGCCTAATGAATTTTATTATCAAAACTCGGTATAAAACAAACATGTTTCGGTAAATCCTTCGCCATCTTTAGAGAAACGATTGCTAACGTGCAATCTACTATTACATTACATTAAAAAAAAATGCAATGTCATGATGTCTGTTCAAATAGCTATGGTTCTATTCCAATATATTTAAAATACAATGCTTCACAGTTGATCACTCCCTTTAAATAGTAGATTGCATGTTAGTAATTGCTTCACTGAAGATGGCGAAGGATTTGAAGAAACATGTCTGTTTTTATACCGAGTTTTGATAATTAAATTCATTAGGCCTTGCCTATAGGTATTGAGTTTAAAAATTATTGTGGTATTCTTAAGATGTATTTGCTGTCTGCTACTACACAGATATAAATATATATATAAAATATATTTATATATTATATATATATATATATATAAAATATATTTATATATTTCCTCATCGTTATTTAAGGTTGGTGGTTGTCAATGGATGGGGCTGATAACTTCTTCATTCGTTTGAACTCGTATATGGTATTGAGTTTAAAAATTATTGTGGTATTCTTAAGATGTATTTGCTGTCTGCTACTACACAGATATAAATATATATATAAAATATATTTATATATTATATATATATATATATACTTATATATATACATATACATACTTATATATACGTATATATATTTATATATACATACTTATATGTATATACACATACTTACATATATACTTATATAGGCCTATATATATAC